AAGGGGGCATGCTAGAGACGTCACCATCTTCAACCCAGTGTCCTCATTATGGGTTTGGCGTTTAATTCCTGAGAACAAGAGAGAGCAGAGAGGTGTGGTTTGGTGGTGGCCTTTCATGTTTAGAGGAGACAAAGTTGGAAAACGTCCCTCTCGCACCCTGCAGCAGTGGTGTCTGTTGAGGAAACCAGCCGTGGCCAGTCTCCTCCGAGCACCAGGTTCCAGCCCCACTGTCTGGGGTGCTGCTGAAGATGTTGCCCCGGGCCTTTCTCCAGACCTGGCTGCTCCAGGGCAGAGAGGGTGCTGATCAGTGGCAGGCTCCGTGTGCTGTGGGTCCCTGCAGTGCTCCACCTCGTGGAGGGGCACGGTTTCGCAGCGCTGGGGGGACCTCAGGTGTCTGTGCTGCCTGTGGAGGGCAGCACAGGTCCAAGCCCTATAAGGGGCAAGACATGCAGCCAGAAGCGCTGGCGTCCGATGCCGTGTCTTGCGCATGCCTGGGTGGGACCTGCACGCTCTCGTCTGTGTCTGTTAACCTTTCTCAGGTCAAGGACCTCTTTGATGATAGGCCACAAGCTGTGGCTCTTCTCCCTGAAAGACAGCACACATGTGCTCGACTTTGTCTGCTGTTTCTGGGGTTCACTGTCATCCTTAAACCTGTGGCTGGCCTCTCGCTGCAGTCATGGCTCTGAGTGGAACAATTCCCACTTACTTTGTTGGGGGAAGTGTCGGCAGGGGAGGGTCCTCGCAGTCTGGGGTCCTCCTTAAGTTTTCATTATTCAAGTTCATTCTTTCCTCTTCTGCTAGGATTAATCCAGCATTGCCTGATATACAGGGTGGGCAGGGCAAGGGAGAGCAATGTGGGGAAATGGGTGCAACTGTAATTGAACAACAATAAAAGAATTAAGACAATTGTCTGGTATACCTAAACGAATGCAATGTTATATATTAATTATATCTCAATTAAAAAACAAGAAACAAGATTGTTCCTTACCGTGGGTTTCAACTGGTTGAAATATCTTCTGTGTCTACATTCTTGGCTCTCTGGGCTGCACCTGGACTAACTCTGTGTCTTCCTTCTATTGGTAGGAACTGAACAGACATGTCTATGGTTAGAATGCCTAATTTATCTATGAATATTTTATTAATTTTGTATCCTCTCCACTGTATTCTTTCTTAATTGAAATCAAAGAGTGACAGAAGAGTCCTCTGGGTCATAAAATATTTACCGCGCTTACTTCCGAGGTACTCCACTGCTTCTTCCTTCTTACGCACAGAAACCAAGGAAGGGAAGATTCTGCTGCCATCGTGATCGTAATTTGCCAACCACTCGGCCCAGATCCCGATCCCAAGACGTTAACTGAAAAAAGTTCTGATTAAATAGAAGCAGAACTTTCCCCCAAGTGCTGTTGTTCAACTGATAAAGTTTATAACGTTATTTTGTATAATTTTGTTTCTGGGATGTACCAGTGAAGTATATTTTTAAAAATATACTGGTGGATTTAAATCTTTAAAAAATAGATTTCTGTCACATTTGGGTTATATAAAAGTTAAAATAATTTTAATTAAATTTAAAAGTTAAATTATTTCAAAAGACTTTTTATTTCAATACACTCATAAGGGTTTTTTTTTTTTTAAGATTTTATTTATTTATTTATTTATCTTTAGAGGGGAAGGGAAGGAAAGAGGGAGAGAAATATCAATGTGTAGTTGCCTCTCATGTGCCCCCTGCTGGGAACTGGCCTGCAACCCAGGCATGTGCCCTGACTGGGAATCGAATTGTGATCCTTTGGTTCACAGGTGCACGCTCAATCCACTGAGCTACACCAGCCAGGGCAACTCATGAGTTTTTTTGTGTGAGAACAAAATGAGTTCTCCCCTGGCTGGTGTGGCTCAGTGGATTGAGTGCCAGCCTATGAACTGAAAGGTCGCTTATTTGATTCCCAGTCAGGGCACATGCCTGGGTTGTGGGCCAGATCCCCAGCTGGGGGCGTGTGAGAAGCAACCACACTTTGATGTTTCTCTCCCTCTTTTCCTCCCTCCCTTTCCCTCTCTCTAAAAATAAAAATAAATTAGTAAAACCTTTTTTAAAATTTAAAAAACCAAAATGAATTCTACTCTTTGAATTCTCTGCTCCTTGAAATCTGCTTGAAATGGAGACGACCGTGCATTTTGTTGTTTGTTGCTTAAAGATTTTATTTAGAGAGCGGGGGAGGGGGGAGTAAGGGAGGGAGAGAAACCTCAACGTGAGCGGGAAACATTGACTGGTTGCCTCTTACATGTACCAATTGGGAACCAAAACTGCAACCCAGGCATGTTCCCTGATGGGGCATCGAACTGGTGACCTCTGGCTCATGGGCTGGTGGCCAGCCTGTTACAGAACAGCCAGTACTCAGGCAGAGCAGTCAGCGGGGTTCTACTGCTCGGCACCTCCAAGCAAAACTCTGGAGTCAGAAGTGTGGTGGACAGGGAGGGTTGACTACTTAAAGTCTGTACAGTTTGGGAACAGTGGCAGGTTTCTGCCTCAGAGCCCTGCTCCCTTTAAAACACCCAAAGACAGATAGTCCTGCCACCCTCTGTCAGGCCAGCCCAGCCCCAGAATGCACCTGAAATCCTTTTTCCCAGTTGAAGTACCATCTTCTGGGGAACACAGGTGACTACAGGAGGCTCATCCAGGCTGCTTGGCAAGTTCCCGGTCACAGTTCAGCGCCAGGCGTCTCCCACAGGTCTGTGCATCTGGCTGGTTAGGACCACAGAGCACAGCCAGCACCGCCGCCGCTTTCTTTGTAGGAGGGGTGCCCTCTGTTCCCAGACCTTGCAGCCCCAGGGCCCACCGATCTCAAGAACTCAGCCCAGAGTGAGGGGAAGGGAGAAGACCACGTGTTCCCCGGCGTATTCCATTTTAAAGACTCAGCCCAGAAATCGATGTGCAGGGAGCATCTAGCATTTCACCAATGCACATTGATGTCCTCCATGTTTGTCAGCCAGTGTCTTTGACCTTCTTCCTGCTGCCATTTTTGCAGAAGGGGGCAGAGTTTCCCAGCCACACAGAGGGGCACACTGCATGTGACTGGGGCAGGACTGAGCTGTTACATATGAGTTTTGTGACCTCTCCAGCCCCTTCATGCTCTGTGCAGCCTGTGTCCCCAGCGACAGGGAAGCCTGCCCCAGCTCCGCTTTCAGTGCCAGACTGCCCTGGCACTGCCCAGCTCCCCATCGCCTCCCTGGGAAGGGGGCTCTTTTGCTGCTGCTGCTTCAGCCCCTTGTGACGGAGCTTCTTCCCGTCCCCCTTCTCCTGTCACAGGGCAGCTTCTCATGCTGGATTGGGGCATTGGGGTTCCTCCACTTCCGCTCCCCAGTGCTCTGGTCTGACCCATCCTGTTACAAATGCACCGAGCCTTGCCAGTCAGGGCTGTTGGTTTTTTTAAATCTCATTGCTTGTAGACAGAGAGGAAGGGCAAGAAAGAGAAGCATGGGTTGGTTGCCTGTCATATGCACCCAGACCAGGGGTCACACACATGCAGACGGTGCCTGGATGGGGATCAAACCCACCATCTAGTTATGTGCTGGACCAGAATCGAACCTGCAACCTTTCAGTTACAGAATGATGCTCCAACCAACTGAGCCACACCAGCCGGGGCTGTTTGTTTTAATTTAGACTTAAGGGCTTTGGGATGGGGAATGGGAAAGAAAAACAAAATACTTAGGATATTTAAGGGACATAGACTATTTCCTGCTCCCAAAGTTTCACATAAGGCGAGGACTCGGTGGAAGTTTTCTCACTAGATGTAAACAGCCGTAGGATAGGTGTTTATTTAAATGCTTTGATCTGCAGGCCATTTGGTTTTTAACTTTTTTTTCTATCTATTTATAGGTTGGGAGGGGGAACACAGAGAGAGAAACATGTTTGTTCCACTTACATGTGCATTCATTGATTGATTCGTGTATGTGCCCTGACCAGGGATCGAACCTACAACGTTGGCGTGTAGGGACGATGCTCTAACCAACTGAGCTGCCCAGCCAGGGCCATGCAGGCCGTTTTTAATTTTTGCAGTTTTTTTCTGTATTTTTTTGGTTTAGTTGTCAACAATTTCCTGTCGTATTAGCATCTGGCAACAGTCATGCTACATTTCTGAAGGTCATTTAAGAAACTCATTGTTTTGTGTTTATTGTAGCGTCTCCTTCCGCTCTGGGTGATGCCGTTTAATCTCTTCAACTTCCTTTTCCTCTCAACTCCCCCTCTCCCCAGAGCAAACCGAGACTCTCAGATTCAGTGGTGACAGGAAGAAACTGCCATCCAAGAAGGAATGTAGTTAATGTCCATATTATCTTACTTGGTAATTATCTTCAGATAAATGAATAGATGGTCCGTTGTGAAATCTTTCTTAAATGATTTATGAACCAGGGATGTCTGGGCTGGGACGTTTGCCAGCGTGAACCAGAACGGGGCCGGACCGGGAAGTCCTGCAGTGGAAAGGCCGTGCTGCCCTGGTGCACTGTGCCGGTGACCCCGGATCTCTGCACCGGGGCTTGCTGGGCTAACCGGTGCGTTCCATTACCGAAGCACTTGAAAATGTGGAGCCATTTTCATCAACACACTTGAGAAACAACCTGAAGAAAAGGGGTTTTATTTCATTGCATTCCTCCCAAAGAGATCATTGCCATTCATGTGGCTGTGACTGCCATTTGCCCCCAGCCCTTCTCTGCCCTTTGGGAATCGGACATTGCTGGAGCTCTCCCAGTCGGAATGTGGATGTGTCCGGAAGGCCACAGTGGGATGGGATTCCTTGCCCATAGTGTGTGTCCAGCCTGCCCTGTAATTGGGCCGCCCCTGCCTCTACCCAGGGCCCTTCCTTCTCCCCCCGGGCCTTCGGCCATCTGGTCTGTCATAAGTGCTCAGAGAATGACTGCGTCTTTGAACAGATTGACTGATGGTGAAGGAGGCTTCCTCTTGCTTCACGGTGCGGGAAGAGGCCTAACGTGGTTGGTGGCTGCCCCTCTCCTAGGAAATGCTGTCGGGCGTGGTGGTCATATGCGGGAAGGACTCGGTCCAGCACCAGGGCATCTCTCTGACTGTGGAAGGGACCGTGAACCTGCAGCTCAGTGCCAAGAGTGTGGGTGTGTTCGAAGCTTTCTACAATTCGGTTAAGGTAAGAATGCTTATCTTATTGGCTCATTATTCAGATGTGTGTGGTGGGTTTTTACTTGCTATTTGGCTTTATCACGATTTTGCAAGTAGTGTGGTGGCAGCCACACTTTTAATGCTTCCTAATCAAACTGGAAAAATAGGTTGCTTCTGAATAGATCCTGTTATTGAAAGTCCACTTGCTTTAATTCCCATTAACAAGAACTAGGGGAACCAGAAGGACACTCATTCCGGCCACGACCAAGACCAGCGCTGTCCCGAGAAGCAGCACCTGCGGCTCCTGGCGCTCACCCCTCACAGCAGAGCTGCCGCTGTGACTGCGAAGATGGCCACTCCCGGGCTGGACATCCAGCTAGGAACGGTGGCCCTTCTTTGTGTCCCTCAGGGTAGAGGCCTGCATTCCGGACCGGAAACTCTTGCTTTCTTTACAGCTTCCTTTCCCTGAAGGACATACTAGCTCTTTAAGTTCTGGGGGAGAAAGGGTGAAGAGGACAGAAGGGTTCGGTGACAGCGTTCCCACCAGGGCCTTCCCGCATTGTGTGCGGCCCTGATTTCCCCTCGGTGGCTCGCGGAGATCCCCTTCGAACGCTGCAGATTTTGTCAGCGACTCTGAACCACGGCCTCGAGCACCTTCCCTGACGAAGGTGTCGCACTGCCTTTAGTCAGGCCCCACACGGAATCACTGTCCTCCTTCCCGGAGGCCCACACAGGAGCACAGGCTGGTGGCATTCGGGCCCTGGGGACTCGGTCTTTCTGCTGGCCCATTGAGCACAAGCTGGGCAGGGCGGCCCGGGAGCCTAACTAAGGTGCTTAGAGAGGAGGGAGACGGCGGGTCCTTGGCTGCTGTGCACCAGACACCTGAGCGAGCTGGTGCCAGAGACTCCCACAGGCTCAGGATGGTGGCAGCGAGGGCTGTGCCTGTCACATGAGTTATGAGACACGGTGACTGGAGGGGGCTCTGAATGTTCATGGCAGTGACTGAGCTGATGTCTCTTTGCAGCCCATCCAGATCATCAACAGCACCATCGAAATGGTGAAGCCGGGGAAGTTCCCCAGCGGCAAGACGGAGATTCCTTTTGAATTTCCTCTGCATGGGAAGGGCAACAAAGTCCTGTACGAGACGTATCACGGCGTGTTCGTCAACATCCAGGTCAGTTTCCCAGTCCCGCACAGTTACCTTTGTCACTTTCTCCTGCAAAACGGCCTTCCTTCCGCTGCAAGTCGCTTGGCAGCCCCAGGACGGCACGCCAGTGCTTATGCCGTGACCTCCCGCACATACTCTGTGTCCAGTTCTCACTCAGCGCCAAGGCACACGTTTCACGTCTGACCGTGTTCCGTCAGGAGTCCTGCAGGGCCCACCCTTGCACTTCTTCCGCAGCCCTTCCTCTCCCCTCTGGCCCTGCGGCCGCGCGGACACCGAAAGGAGCTCTCGCTGTCGGGTAACAACATGCCCTCGCTTCTCTCTGGCACCCGCACCAACTCGCCTGTTTTTATCCATATAAATATCTCTTTGTCTAATGCCCAAAGGCTACTGCTTTAACACAGGCTGCATTCTTTGTCGGACAAACCTTGTAAAGGAGGGGGAGTGAATTTATGGCTTCCGGTCCACGTCTGTGGCTCAGGATGTCTTTCACAGTTGCTGCTGTTGTCTCGGGCGCTGTTTGGAGGCATGATTCAGAGGGAGACAGAGAGCCAGTCCTTTATCCAGCGCGAAGAAAGGTGCTTCTGTGAGGTCCCCTTTGCTGCAGTCCCCCTCGCTAGAGAAGATGACATGCACTGTTTTGTCTTACGTAGGCGCAAGAAGGCTGAAAGATAGATGTTTATTATTTACTAATAAAGTTCCAGCTGATAATGTGATCCCCTGCTTCACATGCAGCAGTATAAAAGCAAAAGTCCTCCCAACACTTGTGAGAGTTTAACCAAAGCCTCTGAGTTTTAGGATTTGCCTAAAGAGTGTGCCAAGAAGCACACGCCGTACACAACGTATCCCGTTGCAAACAATGTCCTTCTGTGAGGAAGAAACGTTTCTCATCCTTGAGTGTAGGGGCACCCGTTTTAGGCAGCACGTGTACTAAAGGGTCAGGGAGCCCCCGGCAGGGCCAGCGGTGATTGGAGGGGTGCACAGATTCAGGGAAGCTGCTAGCGTAGACTCCCTGGTAGCCGGTGCACAGACACGGGTCCTCTGACCAGCATTCTGGGTTGGGAATACGTCCCCCGTGAACAAAAGTCCATGAAAAAATGCCTTTTTAGCAAGGCTGGAAGTATCATGAATATTTCATTTTGGAAATTATTTTTGTTCTGTTTCCTGAATTGGCATCAACTTGCTTTACCCACACAGCTCTTTAATGCTATTTATTTAACAACATAAGCATATGTTCATTAGAAACTGAGTAGAATAACATCAAATTTTCATGGCCATAACTTCTCGTTACTTTCTCCTTTGTTTATCATTCTTGTTAAAAGATTAATGTGTTTAAAATAAAGTTGGAAATTTCATTCTTTACCAAATATTGCCAAGAAAGACACACAGATCTATATGCAAAACTGTACGCGTGGTCCCTACATAGCTGTGTGGAAATTGGAAACTAGTTAAAATGCAAAGGAGAGACTTCCAGTCAAGATGGAGGCATAGGTAGACACTGTGTCTCCTCACACAACCAAAAGAAGAACAGCAGCAGATTTAAAAACAAAAAAACTGCCAGGAAATCAAACTGTATGGAAGTCCAACAACCAAGGAGTTAAAGAAGAAACACTCATCCAAATCAGTAGCGGGGTAGAGACAGGCAGCCAGCGCAGAGAGGACTCGAGACAAGGCAGTAGCTGGTGGAGCAGGCGGTACCACATTTGCGCGCAGATAAACCAGGAGGAACAACTGGGGAGCGAGACAGACCACAAAACCCAGGATTCCAGTGCAGAGAAATAAATCCTCAAAACCTCTGACTGAAAACACCTGTGGGGTTTAAGGCAGTGGGAGAAACTCCCAGCTTCACAGGAAAGTTTATTGGAGAGACCCACAGGGCCCTAGAATGTACACAATCCCACCCACCCAAGAATTAGCACCAGAGGGGCCCAATTTGTTTGTGGGTAGCCCCAGAACCCACTGAAAGCCAGCAGAGAGCAGAGCAAACAGAATTGTTCCCTCCCGGACCCCGCCCCCACAGACAGCATCACAACACAGGGACTTGGGTTGCTCCTACTCTCACTACATAACAGGTGAACGGAGACCAAAAAAAAAAAAAAAAACGGCCCAAATGAAAGAACAGACCAAAGCTCCAGAAAAAATACAACTAAGTGACAAAGAGATAGCCAACCTACTAGAGGCACAGTTCAAAATACTGGTAATCAGGAAGCTCACAGAACTGGTTGAGTATAATCGCAAAATAGAGGAAAGAATGAAGGCTATGAAAAGTGAAATAAAGGAAAATGTACAAGGAACCAACAGTGACAGGAACCAGGACTCAAATCAAAGGTTTGGAGCAGAAGGAAAAAAGAAACATTCAACCAGAACAGAATGAAGAAACGAGAATTCCAAAAAATGAGGAGAGGCTGAGGAACCTCCAGGACATCGTTAAATGTTACAACATCTGAATCATGGTAGTGCCAGAAGGAGAGGAATAACAGCAAGACGTTGAAAACTTATTTGAAAAAATAATGAAGGAGAACTTCCCTGATCTGGCAAAGGAAATAGACTTCCAGGAAGTCCAGGAAGCTCAGAGAGTCCCACAGAAGTTGGAGCCAAGGAGGAACACACCAAGGCACATCACCATTAAATTATCCAAAATTAAAGATTAGGAGAGACTCTTAAAAGCAGCAAGACAAAAGGAGACAGTTACCTATAAAGGAGTGCCCATAAGACTATTAGCTGATTTCTCAAAAGAAACGTTGCAGGCAAGCAGGGGCTGGAAAAATCATGAAAGGCAAGGACCTACAAGATGACTCTATCCAACAAGGCTCTCATTTAGAATGGAAGGGCAGATGAAGTGTTTGCCAGATAAGGTCAAGTTAAAGGAGTTCATCATCATCAAGCCCTTATTATATGAAATGTTAAAGGGACTAATCCAAGAAAAAGAATACAATCAAAACTATGAACAGTAAAATGACAACAAATTCAACTATTAACAACCAAACCTAACAAAAAAACAACAAGAACGAACTAAGCATACAACTAGAGCAGCATCACAGAAATGGAGATCATGTGGAGGGTTATCAAGGGGGGAATGGAAAGGGGACAGAGAGGGAAAAGGTACAGGGAATGAGCAGCATAAATGGTAGGTAGAAAATAGACAGGGGAGGGTAAGAATAGCATAGGAAATGGAGAAGCCAAGGAACTAATATGTACGACCCATGGACATGAACTAAACGGGGGGAATGCAGGTGTGAAAGGGGGGTGCAGGGTAGCGGGGAATAGAGCGGGGGAATGGGACAACTGTAATATCATAATTGATAAAATGTATCTTTTTAAAAAGAGAAAAAAGGAAATAAAGTTAAAACACAAAGGAGAGTTATCTTGTGGTAAGTTCCTTAGTAAGGCCAATAATCACCCTGCTTGCCCTCCATTTTGCTCGCCAGCTCTTACCACTGGAAGGTTAACCTTGGAGTTGCTGCTGCTGCTTACAATTCTGTACCTCCCAACATATCACTGATTTCTTCTTAACCTCAGGTTTATGAGAGTGTATCACCCTTATACTTAGCACCTATGTTCAACATTTAGTATTGTGCCGTCTTCATTATATCTGTATTTATTTTTTTAAGATTTTATTTATTTCTTTTTAGAGGGGAAGGGAGGGAGAAAGAGAGGGACAGAAACATCAGCGTGTGGTTGCCTCTCACATGGCCCCCATTGGGGACCTGGCCCACAACCCAGGCATGTGTCCTGACAGGGAATCAAGCTGGTGACCCTTTGGTTCACAGGCTGGCACTCAGTCCACTGAGCCACACCAGCCAGGGCTGTATTTATTTTTTGTGAATCATTTCAAAGTAAGTTGACAGTTTATCTCAAAATGCTTAAATATCCATCTCCCCAAAATAGGCGCATTCTCCTAATAAGTACAGTTAACATTTTCACACCTATCAGAGTGAAACAAAAAATTCTCAAATGTCATCTAATTCCCAATTCATAGTCAAATTCATCATTGCTCCTTTGAGAAAATATGCTTCTTGATATGAACTAAAATTATGGGTTTTTTAAATCTCTTTTTCACTCATCAATTCATTCATTCAGTTTCTAGAAGGGTCTTTTTCCAGCATCCTAGTTTTACAGGAGAGTCAGTGCCACCCAGAAAGGACAGTGACCAGTGGTCACACAGGGCACCTGCCCTCTTTGCCGTCACACACTGCATGTGCTCCAGAGGTTGACGGGGGTGTCACTCTGGATAGTCAGTGTTGTTCAACCCTGATAACAACGTCTTTCTCAAGTTATGTGGCGCAGAGCAACTTTACACTTACCATTTGAATTGTGCTAAGTCACAGTGTAAAAGTAGTAAAGACCGTAAGACGGAATAAGGATTTAATGTACAGCCAGCATCAAAGCCCCAGCTTGCAGGGGCTGGTTACTTGCTGCTGCTCGGTGGGGGCCTCGATGACACTGGCTCTGACCCTGCCTCCCCGTCACAAGGCGTTCGTGTCTCACCTCCACGGTTAGGTAGTGTGCTCAAGAATCTCTCGTGGCCACCCTAGCAAGGCTTTGTGCTGTGACACACCGTAGATCAGTCCCCGCGTGTCTGCTGAAACTGTGTGTTCAGAATTAACCCACAGCGATGCCCGTCACCCTTTCTCACAGCTCAGATAATACCCTTTCCGGGACCTGCTCTCATTCCACGACATGCATCTTCTGGCTTCCTGCCTGTCGATGTGTGTCTGCTGAGAGTCGAAAAAGGTTGAGTCTTGCTCCTTGGTTCTTGGTGCGCTGCTCAAGCCTGACCACCGTGACCCCCTCTGACCTGTAGCTGATATCTCCTGGATCACGCCTTAGTCATTGGGAAAGATCATGATAAAGTGGAAAGATCCAGGGCTTTGCATCAGACAAATCTGAGCTCAGAATTCATCAAGAGTCAGAGCGTGGGTTTTGGCAACAGGCCAGTGTCCATGCAGATCCCCCTCTGTGATCCCAGCAGCCTCCTGGAACCTCTCCTCCCAGGAAATAAATGAGGACTTGGTGAGACGCGCTTAGTTCGCATCGTGCCTGGCACAGAGAATGTGCCAAGTGTCTATTTGCTGAGTGACTGAATAGACCAATTAGTGGTGACCGTCCTAAGAACTGTTGGATAGTTCTTATGCCGCTCTTGTTCTTGCTCTGAGCCCTCAGTGGCTCGTGGTCTGTGTGGTGCTGGGTCGGTCCAGCTTCTTGTCCCTGCTGGACAGTTTCCTGACCCTCTACCAAACAGCTGCCGTGTGCAGGAGCTGCCGTGTGAGCCTGCGCTCGGAGCTCAGCACAGGCTGGCTGTCCTCACCGTGGGGCAGGCAGTGCCACGCCCATCACGCAGGACAGGAGGCTGGCACTCAGGGCAGCTGTGGTCACTGGGGCCCACACAGGAGGCGGGTGACGGGGTTTGAACTGGCTTCTGCGTCCTGGCGCCTGCACCTCTCCCCCACCCCAGCCTTTCTCTGTGCCGCAGAGGGGGCTGCACCCCATGTTCCGGTCGGTCCACCCACAGGAAGAGGCTGAGGAGTGATTGACGTGTGTTCAGAAACAGAAATGCCTTTATTTTGAGCACTAACTCCCCCTACTGTGTGTATTGATTTCGTGTACACGTTAATTGGGCAGTTTTTCTAAAATATTGACTTGTCTCTTTGACTGTAATTCCGAGATGAGAGCAGATTACCCCAACACCATGTTTCTCCCCCCACTCTCCACCCAGTACACCCTGCGCTGTGACATGAAGCGGTCTCTGTTGGCCAAGGACTTGACGAAGACCTGCGAGTTCATCGTCCACTCTGCCGTAAGCTGTCCTCGGGGTGCCGGGGCTTCATCATGGGGGCCTCCTGCGGGGTCCGGGCTTCGACCCGCTGTCACACCAGGCAGCCAGCCTGTCAGTGCCGTTCCACTGCCGCTGAAATGCGCGGGCTCCTGGGTCGGGCCCAGGGACCTTACTGTCCCAGCACAGCCGGCAGCCCGTGCCGCGTCGTGGGTGTCTTTCCACAAGGCCCTGTGGGCCCACCGACACTGCATCTCGGGGAGTCTGTGCCCCGGATGTGGAGTGCCGGCCGGGGCCTCTGCTCTGTTCGCAGCAGGGAGCAGGCCCGGGCCTTGCCCTGACGGGACTCACCTCGTCTCTCGGGGTTGCAGGGCAAACAGCTCAGAGATGGCCTGGCCTGGTACCAAGCGGTCCGGGCCTTGCATTCTTGGCGTACTCAGCAAGGACGTAAGGGGACACACAGGGCCGGGGTGGGTTGCCCCTCCTAACACCCCCTGCTGGTATTTTGCAGTGACATAATGTCTCAGAACATTCACATGTCAGCGTAGGAAACTGGATCCTCTCCCCAGGCCCCCACACCCCGTGACTCCGTGTGAATTCTCGGGTGCCCTCTGCAGCCCAACTATGCTTTGCTTTGGGCATGCAGGACGTCCAGTGACAGGCAACGCCTGCCCTCGGTGTGACGTGTGGTGAGAGATGCTCACGCTCACAGCCCTGGGTTCCCGGGTGGCTCTCCGGCCACTGCAGGCTCTCTCACTCAGGCTCCGCCTCTCGCTTGCACACACCATCACTGCACTCTCTGCCTCGCTGTCCTCACCTGCGGTGTGGGGTCAGTGACAGCTGCCACGCCCCGTGGGGTCAGCGTGGGGATTTGGTGGCACGTTGTAGATGCTCTGGTGTCAGCTCTGAGAGGTTTAAAATATCTCCTGGCAATACCTCTGTTTCTTAAACCTAACTTTCAAACTGGATCTTCAGGAGACCTCAGAGATTAAGAAGTCTGTCCTCCCATTTTACAGATGGGGACACTGAGCCGTGGGGTGAGCACCTTGGACACAGAATACGAAGGTGTTTTGGGCGGGCCCGCGTTTAGAACCCGAGCACCCTCCTCAGTGCCAGGCTCCCCCTCGCCCACTGCTGCCCCTCCCCATTTCCAGGGCGGGGGCAGGGGGGCAGGTTTGACTGCAGGACTCCTGGCCGTCCAGCCGCTGATTCTGGTTTGTCCCGTTTTAGCCTCAGAAGGGGAAGCTGACCCCGAGCCCCGTGGACTTCACCATCACACCCGAGACCTTGCAGAACGTCAAAGAGGTACTGTGTTCCCCCCACCTGAGCAATGCGGGGTGTCTTCTCAGTGACTGGGCCCCAGATTTTTATTTGGGTATCAAGAGGAAATCCAGAATAGTCTGTATTTTCTGTCTCAACTTCTTTTTAAACTCTGTAACCACTTAGAAGATTAATTAATGCTTTTGGACAGTTCCTCGGGATATATGTTATTATTTCTTACATCTTCTTTCAGTTTTTCATCGTGGTCAGAGGCTCTCCCCTGAGCCACAGTCCCCAGCGCTACCTGCGCTGGTGGCCGTGCCCCCTTGTTTCTCATTGTTGGCCGCCACCTACACTTGGCCACCTGTCCCTTGTCATCCATGGACGTGGCTTTTCGTCCTCACTCTCACCCCGCAGCCTGCCCTCTGGACCCTTTTGATTAGTCGGGCTGAAGGCAGGTTTGGGCTGGGACACACGAGCGATGCTGGCCCAGTCCCTCGGAGACACAGCCGAGGCAGGGCCATGCTGTAGGCGGCCTTCGGAGCCCGTTACCCACCCCTGCCTCCTCCAGCTTCTGGGGAGCACAGGGCTTCAGTGGGCCTGTTCACTGCTCCCCCTGCAGGGCCCTGAACCTGAGTGGGGAGCGAGAGGGCACAGCAGGCGGGCGGGGCTGGGCTGGGCCCCCGCTCCACCCTGCGGACTCCCGGTGGGTTCCATTAGCCCCACTGTTTCTTACTTCTGAAGAATCTTCGTGATACAAAACAGGTGAGAAGAGGTGCGGGACAGATAGGTAGGAACCGTGCCATTGCCTTGCCTGGGAACCAGCGTCTAGCCAGAGTTCCCGAAGGACAGTGTCTCCGATAGAGGGGCGCACCCCTCTTTCCCGTCCTGAAGCCGTCTGGCTTTACTCCTGCGTCTCGTCTGCGCTCGGTGGTGTGCTTCACCGTCTCCTTTTCCCTCTCTTCGCTCTGGTTTACAAGGTTGCGAGGGCTTTTTTCCTGTCCTTACTGTTGTTGGCTCCTTTTCTCTTTAACATCTTGTTTCTCCTTCCCGAGTAGTTGCCCTTCAGTGTTCGCACAGACGTGGGCAGTTTTACGTGCAAACCTAGCACTGAGGATAAGCGCCTTCTGGCAGATGTTTGTAACGTGTTTGCGTTTTCCTGCCATCGCACCACCTCGTTTGTTACATTTGAAATCTGCGGTCTGCTCCTCCCTGGTGTTACTGTCCCGATTCAACCCCTTATTGGCTCACACGCCAGCCCTTCAAGGTCATCTCGCGTGTCACAGTCTCTTTCTTCAGCCGTAACTGGAGGCTTCGCCATAGTCATTGCTCACCATTGATTCTTCTCACTATGTCTTCTTTTCTCGATTTGGTTTTTGTTTAGCTGGAATCTATTCTAGAGTTATTCTTTCAGAAAGGGCGAGGAGCGAACTGAAATCCTTGCATGTCTAGAAATTATCTTGCTTTGCTCCCACACTTGAATCCTGGTCTAGGCAGGAAATTCCAGCCTCACTGTCATTTGCCCTGAGAACTTCGAGAAATAGTTCCCTGCTCCTCTAGTGCCCAGTGACACAGTGACAACCCGGTCCTCAGATCTGTGTGAGCTGATCTACTCCTTCCCCCTCTCCCTACCCCTCCTCCTCCACGAGTCTTCCAACATCTCTGCTCCTTCAGGCTCTAAAACTTCAGAGTGCCTGTCCAAGTTCGGGTCTTGCTTTACTCCGTGTGCCTGGCATCTGGCGGCCTTTTTCATCCAGAAGGCCGAGCCTCCCTTAAGCCCTAGGACGGCTCTGCTATCGCTTCTGGGCACATGGCACACAGGAGAAGCCCTTGGCTCAGGCCTCCAGCTCAGCGCGCTGCTCTCAGTGACCGTTCAGCCCTTTGTTGGAGTGTTGACTCGGCGGCACTGTGACTCCTTTCCAAGCAAGGCTCCTTTTTCACGACAGCCCCTCCTTCTAATGCCGATGCAGCCAGTTGATGGCCAGTTGATGCTGTTTCTTCAGGGGTCAGTTCCTCTGTTTATATAGAGTGAGTGCCTCCTTTTCTTGCTTTATTTTCCTCAGGTGTTTATTGATTCTCAGTTACTAGTTTATATTCATAGAGGGTGACCTCACACGTATGGTCTTGCTAACTGGACTCTCTGTCCGTAGCCCGGACGAGAATCTGCTCTGGTTACAGGCGGGCACTCCGGCCAGGGCGGCTTTGCCGGGAGCGCTGCACCGGGGAGGAGGCAGCGGGCCCTGGGGGCCTTCTCTTTGGGTGGGTGAGCGGGTGGTTTATTTACTCAGTCTCCGGGCTCCAAGATGTAACTGTAAATGACTCGGAACCGTGCCCTGCCTTGCCCAGCCTGCTTTGGGGGTCTTCTGGGTAGAAAGCTCCCCTTGAAAGCCGCAGGCCCCCAGGAAGTGCCAGCTCCAGAGGCTGCGGCCAGCAGACCCACCGTCCAGCGCATGTCCCGTGAGCACCCCCTGACCGCCCTTTCCCGGGGTGCCTTCCAGGATGGCGGCCGCTGCCGGCCGGTCCGACTTGAGGCGAGCCGTAAGTGTGAGGTTTGGGAGTCCAGGACTCAGGGTGAGGAAGAGTGGGAACATCGTAAATCTCAAATCTTGATTCTGTGTGGGAGTGATGACATTTTGGATATCTTGGCTAATTTTACCTGTTTCCTTTTGCTTTTTGAAACATGGCTACTAGAAAAGTTCAGGCGGCACGTGCAGTCCACCTCCGTGGCAGCACCACCTCCTGCTGGACGGCGGTGTCCTTGGCTCTGCACTGTCCTCAGTTCCTGGGACGCAGCCAGCGGGGAAGGACAGCTGCCTCCCTCTGGTCCCCTGGCCTCCCCAAGGGACCGTCGTCACTTGCTGGGACCCATTTCCTCTGTTAACAGAGAAAAGGGCCACAGGTTATAGTCAGGGTTTGAAGGACACTCTCCTCTTTAAATTTCCTTGAAGTCAAATAAGTGTGTTGACTTTTCAAAACTGCATTATTAAGGACACTTTAAAATTGATTATCTTGTGAAAAACCTTTCTGCGTGTGTTTGGCTAGCCGGCTGCAAACACTCCCTCGGGCATTTTACAGGCGGTTCCCTCAGTCCGGAGGGGCTGTCCCGTCTGACCTGGGGGTTCTAGGCGGGGCTGTGAGAGGTGTCAGGCAGGGCTGGTGCCTGGTGTCTGTCGAGACAGGTGGCAGGGTCGGGCAGGTAATAACGGCGACAAAAGATGCAGAGAGTGTGGCCACACCTTTTACTGCATCTTGTAAAACTACAATTCCAGGGTTTTTATCCAAACAATCCGACCTCGTTTTCCACTTTTATCTGTACCAAAGTGACTATTGAACCATCTCCAGTTCTCATGGCTTTGCCTCTGTCTGGTTTCAGAGAGCCTTGCTCCCCAAGTTTCTCATCAGGGGACACCTGAACTCGACCAGCTGCGTCATCACACAGCCGCTGACGGGCGAGCTGGTGGTGGAGAGCTCGGAGGCCGCCATCCAGAGCATAGAGCTGCAGCTGGTCCGCGTGGAGACCTGCGGTGAGGCCCTGCCCTGCCCGCAGACTGGGGGGCAGGGAGAGGTGGAGGGAGGGGGGTGCGGGGCTTGGGAGCCCCAGGAGCCTCGGCTAGAAGCCGAGCTGTGCCGGTGCAGGTCCTCACGGTCACAGGGCGCCATCGATCGCTCGCTGGACGTCGGCTGCTTTCTGACCGCGTGGTGCTTCTCCCTCCAGGGTGTGCAGAAGGCTATGCCCGTGATGCCACCGAGATTCAGAACATTCAGATCGCCGACGGGGATGTCTGTCGGGGCCTCTCGATCCCCATTTACATGGTCTTCCCCCGGCTGTTCACCTGCCCCACGCTGGAGACCACCAACTTCAAAGTGGGTGAGTGCTGGTTCCCAGCCCTCATGGCTGCCCGAGGTCGTGTGGCCCCCAGAAAGGGCCACCCAGAGCCTGGGACAGACACACCTGTCTGCTTGGGTCAGATCGACTCTGGGTCAGTCACTGCTTGAAGGCCAAGGGTCTGCAGCAAGCAGTCCCAGCTCTGAGGACACTTGCACTGTCATCCAAAGAGGCTCCAGCAACCTCGTTAGTGTGGGCAGGGGACGGGAAACTGGGCAGGGAACTAACACAACAGGGACAGGCCAGCTCTGTGCACTAGAGGTCAGGACGGAGATGTCAAAGGTATAACAGTCCTATGAACATGAGTCATCAAGAGGTCAGGCTTTGTGGGGACAAGCCAGTGCACCGTGGCCAGGGCCCGTTGGTAAATAAGTCAGGGGATCGGCAGCTGCTCCTGCTGCTGTGCCCGGTTCTCTGGGAAATGGGGACGTGGTCCTGAAGGCCAGGGTGTTTTATCAATGTCCCAACCCCCCTACGTCTGATAAGGTGCATTATTTGTAGTCCAGAGAGAATCTTTGTTTTTGAAATGAGACCATGATTTCACTTTGAACAATTCCAAATAATACAACTTAAAATTGAAGGAAGTACAGGTTGTCCCAAAGCCGACTGCGCTGGTAGTTTTAGCGGAGCTTCTTGGACCGACCCTGGCGCTTCTTGGACCTTTGGGGGTCTCCGCGCGGGTGCGAGGCCTGAGGCTCGGCCGCCCGGGGTCGGGAGCACAGTTTGTTTGTGCGGCCCCTTGAGTGCGTCATCAGAAACGTTACACTGAGAGCGCGTGGGGTCAGGACACCTCAAAGGTGACGCTGGTCGAACTCGACCCGAGCCACCACGATGTTTCTAAAACACCACGTAGGGCTGTCATGGAGGTAGTCGTCCCTGCCTAGGCACAAAAGCCGAAGGCGGGGCGGAGCACAGGGGGCGTGCCCTCAGCCACGCAGGCTCCGCCCAGGACCACAGCCTCCAGGTGGCACCCAGGCTGCAGGCAGGCCGGGCGCCCGCAGCCACCAGCGTTGGCAGCACCCTGCCCACGAGGCCTGAAGGGGCTGTAGCTTGACCTCCAGGGCCTTTGGTTCTGAGTTGAGGCAGAATTTCTGTCGATTTCTCCATTTGGTTTTCCTACCCAGACTTCAGAAAGGTCCAGAAAATTAGTTTGTCTGCTATGCTGTTCGTTAGGCACCTACATTTTTAATGTTATTTCTGTCATATGTATAAAGTGTCCATATACCAGTCATTCAGGGCCTCGGGTCCTTCCACGTAGATGACAGCCTATGACTCCCTCAGTCCCCCAGCCAAGGCACCAGCCGTGCCCTTTCCTCGTGCCCGTGCTGCAGAACAGCAGCTGCCGTGGCGGGGGGTGGGGTCCCCACACAAAGGACGGGAGTATGACCGCAGAGAGTGGCAGCGTCCGCCGGGCCTGGAGTGGCCCTGCCTGGCCAGCTGGGGTTGGGCTCCGAGTCCCACGGTGGGGTTGGCACCCCAGACTGGGAAGCTGCAGTGTCTGGGTGCCCACCATACAGGTGACTTCATGCGCCTTGGTCAGGCCAGAGTTGGGGGCTTGGCTGCCCCCATGCCACTGCTCTGCCATGTCCTGTGCCAGAAGGACAGCCAGCACCAGCTGCCTGAGGTGGTCCCCGCTCCCTGACCTGTCCTCTCTGTGCACATCAGCCACAGCGGTCTCTCAGGGTGGGGACAACACGTGGCTGGAGGAAGGTGGAAGGAATGATGCCACAAGCCCAGGGGGCCCTTCTTGTGCTGTGACTCTGATCAAAGGCAGGCAGGCAGGGGAGGCACTTCATGGGGCAGGTGACAGTCACACACGGGGCGTTGTCCTCAGGACTCCAGGAACAGGTGGGGTCCTGGGCACGGTGACCCCAAGCCCCTTCCACATCTGAGCTCCTGCGTGGTGGGGTGGGACGGGCGGCCCTTGTCCCCGCAGCCCAGCCACTTCGCTGCCCGCACAGGCCCTGCCGCCTCCCTCTGCCCGTGAGCTGGGAGCCGGGCTGCCCCGTGCTCAGGGAGCTGCTCCCCCACAGCCCCTTTGCCCAGTCGACAAGGCCGGCCCACACGTAGCAGCTGAAGAGCTGGTGGAGAAAGGTCCCTGTTTGCCGAAAGGTCCGAGATGGACGACTGGCAGGTGTTCCAGTTAAGCTCTCGGTCTCCAGAGGAACGAGTTCAACCAAATGCTTTTCTGTCCACTGTTTCCTGCCGGGGAGGGGGCCGTACCCAAGCAGCTGCAGGCCAGTCTGGGGTCCGCTGTTCCACTAAGAACCGTGGGAAACGTAAAAATAAAGCAAAGGAGGGTAAGTGAATTGAAAGGGTTCCAGAAGCTTCCCTCTAGGAAAGTGTGGTTGGGAAGCTGATGTCTGCCTGTTCCCAGGTGAGGAGAAATGTACCTTGAGCAGGTGTTCAGGGGACTTCCAGCAGGTCCCCTCTCCCGGAAGCCCCGGGCATACACGAGGACACAACCCTGGCCCCGGCCCCTCGCCGCTCAGAGCGGGCGGGGCCTGCGGAGGGCTTGTTGTCCGGTTCCGACTCCGGGCAGGTGAGCCACCGTCTGCCCTTTGTCTTCTCAGAATTCGAGGTGAACGTTGTGGTGCTGCTGCAGGGCGATCACCTCATCACGGAGAACTTCCCGCTGAGGCTGTGCAGGACGTAGCCCGGGCCGAGCGGCCGGCGGAGGTGCAGCCGTGGGGCACACGCCGCCTTCCTCGACGGTTCTGCCCCAGACATGGACCCGGCCCCCCACGTCACAGCTGCCTCCTCCCTCATTTCCTCCAGGCTTCTGCTCCCAGCAGGCGCCTCCAGTCAGACCTGCTCTTCAGATCCATCGGGTTTCCTGGCGTTACCGGCAGGGTCACTGAGGAAGCAGAATTTCATAGGCCGCCTGACCTTGCAGCTGCTGTGTGGGGCGGAGGGCAGCGGTGGCAGCGGTGACAGCAGTTTGAGTTCTGCTGGGCAGCGAGGTCCTGGGGCTGCGACCGCACAGCCACGGCAGGGACAGGCGGCAGGGCCACGGCAGGGCAAGGACCCCCTTGCTGGTGGCATCCTCAGGTGCCCTCCGAGGAGGGTGCCAAGTGGCTGCTGCCACCGAGCTCTGTGGTTCTCCAACACTGTTCGTGATGACAGTCCTTCTTGCTGCCATAGGAGTGAGGGGAGTTGGTGACAGTGGCTGAAGTATTTCTGAAGTCTCAGGACCTGGTGTAAAATCATGTGCCACGGGGTTCCCAGAATGCCCTTCGGGGCCACGTTATGTGGGGGGCATGAGTCCGTGCCCATTGTTGGGTCAGTTCTGAGCAGCAGGAGGCTCGTTTCCGGGGTGGTAGGTGAGGACCTGTCTGTACTGGCTGGGGCCAGCAGTGTCCTGGACTCTATGAACTTGGCCTCTCTCCAACCCTGCCTGTGTCCTGGCCAGGGAGCTGGGCCTGAAGCCACCTCCTCCTTAGCCCCAGTCTGTGGCCCACAGTGTACGGTGAGCCTGTCCCAGCCCATGTCCTCCTTCCCACCCTGCCCTTCCTCCCATCCGTCCACCACTGACCAGCCCTCAGAAGTAAACCCTGAGCTTGGCATGACCTTCCCTGCCAGTCCCCCGTCTGGGCGGGCTCAGGTGGATGGCCACTGTCCCTGGACAGCACGTGTGATGCTGAGTGCAGACGACCCCAACTCAGGCACGGCTTCGCTGCAGGGCCTCACCGGGGGGAGGGGGCCCACGAGTACAGAGCCATCCAAGGCTGGCTTCCACAGGACGCGTGGCTGGGTCACAGGGCTCCGCTCACGCCCCCATCTGTCCTTGATGATGTCTTTAAAGGAGCAGAAAACAAAGAGACTCTACTTTTGGGAATATTTCACAGGTAGATATCATTTTTAATGGAAAAAAAAAGCCAAATGAGAATTTTGAGAAATGCTTTCAAATGTGTGTTGCTATGTCGATTCTCTAGTAAGCCCATTTTACAGATATCAGTAGGATTACTCCTTAGGGAGCAGTTGTTACCTGTGGAGGAGCCACAGCCCAGCCTCCACCTGCACTTCCACCGGAGGCTGTTAAGGGAAACCCAGGTGTCCAGCTGCCCTGGGTGGAGCCGGGTCTGTCCACCCCTGGAGGCCGGGGTTGTCAGACTCTCTCATTTGAGGAAGGGGAGGTGAAGGAGAGTCCGAACTATGAATTTACTGCTGTGGAAATGTCCCTTCAGGCAGGAACACACTCTGGCCATCAGAGTTCCAGAAGAAACAGGGCCTGGGTCCAGTTCTCAGACATGTTGTAGATTCCCGAGAAGGCCGAGACGTTAACGAGAAATAAAATGTTAAAAGAGCCAAACATCGTGCCTGAGTTTGTCCAAAGTCCTTGTCCTGAGCCCACCTTTATGACAGCTGGTGGGAGGTAGAACCCTGGCATTTGTGCCTTCCCCGGGGGCTGAACCTGAGTCTTACCCCTTAAAAGCTATGGGGCTGAGTGACCCCATGTGCCAGTGGTGATTGGGGCTATAGCAGGTCACCAGACTCTCCCACAGTCCCTCTGACTGCCCACCTCTTGTTCAGAAACGTGGCTGTACTGCCGTGGAACCATGCCCACCTGGCAACAGACTTGTTCCTGACTCCTTTGCAGCTAGGTGTGGTCATGTGGTGGAGGATGTGGGCCACTGGAGGCCAGAGCCCACTGGCCTTGTGCCGCAGCTGCACTAGGAACAGGCCTGCATCCCGACCTAGACTGTGCCGGCCACACCAAGTGAGCAGAGCACCTCACCTCCTCGCCCTGTGTCATCGTCATCACCGTTGTCATCACAGGAGAGAGAAAGAAAAGGGGCTTGCTCTCCAGCCTCTGGACTTCTGAGTGTCTTCTTGCCTGTAGTTAGTTACTGAAGAAAATGGGCCAGTTTTCAGTGACTCGCTCTCCAGTCAATGAAGACGACTAAGTTATGGTTTTCCCAGAAAGAAGTGTCAACGTACTACCAGGTGTAACTGCTGTGACGACAGCTGTAGTGCAGCAGGTCCGTCCTCCGTTTTGGGGGGCGAGCTGCTGCGGACGCTGGCGGCCGCCCTCCTGTGCCAGGCATCTTGGGAACTTGCGTCGGGGGAGGCTGACCCCGCGTCCCCAGGGCTGGGCCGCGCTGCTCTGGGAGCCCGTCGTGGCAGGTGAGGTCGCTGGAGTGTTTGACACACCGGCCGTGGGTGTGGGTCAGGCCTGCCCCGGGTGCTGGGGGCCGGCCATCACTGCGCAGCGGCCCTCGGGGAGGGGTGGCCGCGGCCCCACGCGGCCCCACGCGGCCCCAGGGAGCAGCCTGGCTGCCACCGTCCAGGTTAACCCGCACCGACGCCCATTTCCCCTCGCCATGCCTCGTCGGGGGCTTCCCATCCCCCCCTTTCCCTCGGTTTCCCTGTCACACGTTGTCTGCTGCAAGGAGCTGAGGTTGTGACCTCACAGCAGCCGTAGGGGGGGTTGTCGCCCCCACTTCACAGCGGAGCGGCCAGGACCCTCCCAGTCCCCGTCACAGCCGAGTTGTGGCCCAGTGTCCCCCTCACCGAGGTGTGCGTGGGACCTTGTCCCCGGGGGCTCCCCTGAACCACAGTTCTTCACCGACCGCCCTTTGCCATCCCCAGCTGGGTTTCAGAAAGGTTGAAGGAAGTTCCTGTTTCCGCGGTGACACGAATCCTAGGGACTCCGAACGAGAGGACATGAAAAATTGCACCGCAGAACAAGCGCCTGGAAAAATGCTCTCTGAAGGGAAGGCCGCCTTTTAAATATAAATAATCCTGTGACCACAAGACTCAAAACGAGCCACCTGAGGAGGAACAAGTGCCACGTGTGGGCCGCAGGTGGCGGTGAGAGGCGGTCCCCAGGTGATGGGCCCCACACTCTGACCACCGGAGGCTGTCCCTGCCTGAGACCCTCCCAGTGGCCGGCGTAGTCAGAGGACGCGCCTGTACTCGGGACGCTGAGGCAGCCCCTGTGCAGGCGAGGCTGCCCCGAGCACACCCACCACTAAACACAGTCAGATCGCCACGGCGCACCACCCAGCAGCAGGGGCGGCAAACAGGACCTGCGAGGCTCCCTGACACCCCACTCTGCTTTCCTGTGGGTGTCGCTGGGGAAACTGGATGGCCTCGGACCCCCGCCCAGCAGGCGGGATTCTGACATGGGGGGTGTTTCACCCCCAACCCCAGCCAGTCCCCCCAGGGCTTTCTGTGTGACATACAGAAGACACGCAGCAGGCTGAGTTACCCAGAAGGGGACAAGACATGATCTGCTCCTGCCGCCTCAAGATGCTCACGGGATCAGAGGGAGCACCTGTCTACCCGAGGCCGAGGCCAAGGCCAAGGCCGAGGCCATGGAAAGCAGCACCGAAAGGCTCGGCGAGCCCACGCTCTGCACTGAAGGGCACGGTTTGTGGAGTGAGGGTCCCCAGAGAGGGTGTCACTCCTTTCTCAGGGGTCACTGTTTCCCACCTTCCTTAAGGACGAGCGCTTCACTGCTACAACCTCTGGGTCTTAAGTGACAGGAATGGGACAAACTGTTCTGTCTGCAGATGAGCAGCCAGGGGCTGGGCCTTTTCTTGGGGCCACTAAGACTTAGCCGTGGGCAGCAGCAGAAAAATAAAGTCTTAAATACTCATAAAAAAAATAGTTTCAACATCAGTATCATTAAGAACACCCAAATTCAAAACCCAATACATGATCAAATTTAAGAAATGAATTATATCCTAAGAATCCTAAAACATCAATATCAAAGAACCTATGCACCACAATGTTCATAGCAGCACAATTTACAATAGCCAAGAGTTGGAAGCAACCTAGGTGCCCATCGGTAAATGAATGGATCAAAAAATTGTGGTACATATACACAATGGAATTCTATGCAGCAGAGAGAAGGAGCTACTACCTTTCGCAACAACATGGATGGAACTGGAAAGCATTATGCTGAGTGAAATAGGCCAGGTGCTGAAAGACAAATACCATATGATCTCACCTTTAACAGGAAGCTAAACAACAAAACAAACAAGCAAGCAGGAAAAAAAAAAAAAAGACACTGAAATAGAGAGCAAGGGGATAGTGACCAGAGGGGAGAGGGAAGGGAAGTTAAGGGGAAAAAGGGGGAGGGATTTGGAGGAACAAATAGGAAGGACGCAGGGAGGAGAACTAAGGGGGGTGGAAATGGGAGGGAGGTGGGGAGCACGGGGCGGGGGAGGCTGGGATGGGAGAAATAGACAAAAAAACTGTACTTGAAAAATAACTAAATAAAATTAATTAAAAAAGAAATGAGTGTTTACTTCCTAAAATTTTCACTGCCATGTGTGTTTATAGCTTACGGAAAATACATATTTTTAATCTATAGAAAACTTTCAACAATTACATATTTTTTGCCACAAAGAAATAGAAAACTCTCAATAAAATTTTAAGCAGAAACTGCCCAGGCCATACACTCTCTTGTAGTGCAATAAAATTAGAAATTAATGACAAAATAAAAATCAAGATTCAATATAAACACTTTAAATTATATAACATTCATCAAAGAGGAATCCAAAAGGGCCATTATTTATAGGCCCTTTTATTTTTGAAGATTTTATTTTTATAGAGAGGGAAAGGGAAGGAGAAAGAGGGAGAGAAACTTCGATATGAGAGAGAAACATCGATTGGTTGCCTCTCGCATGCACCCTGGTCAGGGACTGAACCTGCATTCCAGGCGTGTGGCCTAACAGGAATTGAACTGGCCACCTTTCACTTTGTGGAATGATGCCTGACCCACAGAGCCACGCGAGTCAGGGCTGCAGGGCCTTTTAAACTCCAATGAGAAGAAGCCCGCTGAACAGCAACAGCCAGTGCTGCAATCACGGCACAATTCATAGCCTTAAATGTGCTTATGACACCAGACAGATTGAAAACTAATGAGTGTAGGCATTCAAATTAAATGTCTAGCAAACAATACAACTAAGAGAAAAGAATAATAAAAGGATGAATTCATTTGAAAGCAAAAACACTATCAGAAAATTTATCAATAAGTCCATCAGTTGGTACTTTGAAAAGACTAATTCAAGTGGAAGATCTTAAATAGAGCAAAACAAAACATAAAAAAAAAAGAAATATGTAACACTAGGAACAACTTCAGATTAAAAGAAGCCCAATAAGAATTATATTGAGTTGGCCAAAATATCCATTTAGTGTTTTCCATAAATAAAAGATATTTTTCATTTTCACGAATACTTTATTGATTTGGATATTTTGAGTATGCTGTCTCCCATTAGTGCCTTCCAGAGGGTAGAGGCCAGAGGTGCTGCTAAACATCTTCCAATGCACAAGACAGCCCTACAGCAAAGAATTATTTGGCCAAAATGTCAATAGTACCAAGAAACTTCCCAAATCACTTTGACATGTTTGATCAGTCACAGCACCTTCTTCATACACTGCACAATTGTTTTTGCATCTCAGTTGCATTTTCATCTTGAAATAGTAAAGCATAATATGCCAAAAATGTATATTTTCTTTCATCTTCCATATTAAAATGGCTTCACAAAAATTCACCAATTTTGATAAGTGTTTTAAATACACACTGATATGGCAACTGCCACAATAGAATCTAGAAAAATTGTTTTGCATTAAGTTAAAACAACCAAGCACCACTAGAGCCATTCATTGCACGGGAGAAACTAAACGAACTTTTTGGCCAGCCCAGTACTAGCAGCGAGTGCCCTTGGAGGTCCCCTGGACCCGGCTCCTGCTTCAACAGCGTTTGGACAGCACAGACCCAGGACACCCCTTCTTCCAGCCTCCGACCACACCCTAACCTCTTGTCCAGTCGCCACCTTCAGAACCACCTCAGCCGCCCTTGGCCTCCCAGACCAGCAAACCCCGTTTTCTGACCTTCACTCCAGACTGCCGATGAACCTGAGCTCCCCGATTCGCCAGGATTATCCCCCAAGGTGAAGGCCCCGCGAATGGCCTGGTCTGTCCGAGTCTGCGGGTCCCCCAGTCCCACGGCCCTCCGGGCTCTGTCTCCACCGCAAGGCTGTGGCCCTGCAGGGCGTGGGCCGAAGCCCAGGGCTCCAGGCGTCTCTTGAAGATGCAAAACCAGTGCCTTGGCTGCACCCTCCTCCAGGACGAGCAGCAGCTGTCCCAGAATGAGTGGGTGACACACCAGACACCAGGGAGGTCGGCCAGTCCTGGAACAGAACCTGACATGGGCCTTTTGGACCTTGAGGCCCGGTTCTGTGTTCACGGCCCCCCAGCTCCTGCACTTCCTGCAGAGCCGCGTCCTGGGTGAGCAGGTGAAGCTCACCAAGAAGATGGGCGACACCTGGCTCCCTCCATGGGCTGGTGGTGCCCCCCCACCGGCCTGGGCCAGTGTCTCTTCAAAAGGCTCCCCCTCAAGCATGGCCAGGAGCCTGTGGAGCCCAGAGGCCTTCACGGGGCCCCTGCATCCCTTGCGG